TATTTTTACGGGATATAGCGTCCAACCTTCCATCTTTACCAGTCTTATTACTGGCTTCGTAAGATAAAGGAGTGCGTCGGCCGGGGATCGAACCCCGGACCAAATGCGTGGTGGGCGAGGATTCTACCGCTGTGTCACCGACGCATTCGAGACCACATAATATTTCCAATTATTTGGTTTATTGAGAATAAAATATATTATGTATATCTGTTTTTTTATATTTTTAGAAATTTCCAGGAGGATGAGAAAACAACAAAATCAAAGTTTTTGAGAATAGTGCCTTATTTTCTAAGAGTTAGGTAATGTCACAATTTAATTGTAAATAATTTTTCTTAATAATTTAACAATAATTAATGTATTGAAGTGAAAGACACTTTGTAAGTAGATGAGACAGAAAAAGAACTTGAATGTGGCTATAAAAATTCATTCCACCTTTGCAGGCGGGAAAAAAAACTTGCTTCTCCTCCTTATTTAGTATCGACTTACCCCTGTCGGAGCGCAATTCAGGGCGGTCACCCTGGCATATCTCTGTTGGACTTGGTTCTCTGCCATCAATTTCAAGTAGCTCTACCACTGCGTACAGGCTTTCATTTCCTCTTTATATGATCTTCTTCATGTCACGCAAGCATGCCCAACCCATTACTCAAAGGGTGTGTGTTATCACTTGAATGTCCAGTCAGCGTATGTCCAATTATCTCCACTTCCTTCTACATATTTTTAGGGTCTTGGCTAGTTTGAGGCCCTGCTTGCCGAATCCAGCCAACCGTCTAATCTTCAGTATCGAACCAGTGAAGTGGTTGATGAAAGTCTGCATCAAGCTGTTGGGAATAGCTTTGGTGATGCTGGGACTAAGTCTCAAAGCTATATAGAATCAATGACTTGACATAAGTTTTAGAAATTCGAATCTTATTCCTTGTTTAAAGTGTCTGTTTAGGATTACTTTTCACATCTGTTTCAGAGGATTCCAGTGTCCTGCCACTGGGATTTTCTCGCTGGTGTTGCTGAAGCCTTCCGACGTTTACCTTCTGTGAAGGTGTCCTTTGCAGATTCAACCTTCAGTCTTTATGTGTTGTATTTGCAGATTCTTTGAAGTTTTTCAACTTGATCTTGTAGGCATCTTGCACTAAGTAGCGGTCTGGCCGTAAGCTGTGTCTTTACTTCCTTCATATAGAGATGAAATATATCTGATTTTCGGTGTGGTCATCTCGTGAGACTGACATCGTCCTATGGACATCGCTGTACCTGCACACTCTGCTGCCAATCTCCAAATCACTTAAGGCACAGAGTTCTCCATTCTCATTTATTTTACCGAGAGCCTTCCAACATTACAATAATTTCACGTGCTCAACCTGACAAGTCTGGTGGGTAATATGGCTCAACAAGAACACAAGTAAAAAAATTAGGAATCTATGTGCGATGAACTGTTTCTCGTATTAGTAGCTGAATGAATAGCACTGTAAGATGAAGGTAAAAGGTGAATGCAAAGAAAGATTTACAAAAAAGAAATTGAAAATTAATATTAAAGACTGTATAACAATATGGTCTCAGCCACTTTACCCATGACCTTTGTAGATATTTTTTGCAGGTACCATGAAATTGAAAGACAAGTCTTCTTCTGTGAAAACCTTTCATTATGTCTATGAACTCTCTGGTTTCATTCACCCTTAAATTTGTCTTCTTCATTCATTAACACTGTAAATAGTCAAACGTTGGTGATGATAGTTGTAGGCGTAACTGAAAACTTTGTATGTTCTAGTTGTCAGGTGATTTGTTGTCCGTTAATTGGTTTTATTCATCAACCTACGTGTCTTGTATAATTGTCACTATCTCTTCTCTCTCTCTGTCTCTAATTATCTGTGCTGTCATATTGTTGTTGTTGCTAGCACGCTTCTTTTAAAAACAGTTTATTAATAGTAATATAAGTACCAGTATAAATCAGTCTGTGTTTCTGTTAAGCTCTGTAAATAACTTAGAGAAAAAAAGTATTGCAGTGTTGTTGTTAAAGTACTAAATATATGAATCGTGGAACAGACACTCGAATGTTAAACAGATTCAACTTTCCTGCTGCTTGGACATACTAATCACTTTTTGCGTTTATCGCTGCAGTCACAAGATTAAAGTTGAAAAAACTTCTTTTTTTTGAAGAAAAGATAATGTAAGCGTGAAATCAGTAAAACAGTGGCATGTTTGCTGAAATTTTTCAAAGTTTTACAATCATTAAATTGAGAAAATAGAGTACGACAACAGTGCACACCTAAATAACACATGGGGAGAAATCCATCGAAAAAAATTAATGGAGTTAAACTAGTTAAATCAGGAACACAAACTATTGAAATCGTAGAATGTTTGAAGATTCAGTGAAAAATATGGTGTAGTAATGTTTCTGTGTCTCGCCCAGTGATTTTCAACAGTAACGTCTGATGATTTCAGTCAACTGCGGTGTTAGAATTGATTGACCTTTGAATTCCGTCCCAGTAACCGAGTGGTCGAAGAGCTGGCCTTGTGAACTAAAGTTCCTGAGTTCAATCCCTGATGTCTTTCTGGGTGCGTACCGATGAAGAGTCCCAAACATCGACGAAACGTCCGTCCAGTACTCTCTGGTTATCAATGGTTCTCTAAACAAAGTCGGTTAGTAATGAAACTTGAAACTTTATAAGTTTGTTGTTTACGAGAAGAAGTTGGAATGAGGAAGTGATTCGCAAAAACAAACTGATTAATTTTCTATTTTTCAAGGAAAAATCAGGCTTTGGTTTGTTTTCTTAGATCTAATCAATATGATTATTTAGATTGGAATATTTCTTTTTCTTTCTTGACTTTTCGGGGTATGGATAGGCACACTTTTAACTTGTATACTAAAAGACTGTGAAACTGTTGTGTACTTTTAAGTATTTGTAAATTGTTTCATACTTCAACCGTACTGATCGATTTCACTTTAGTAATTAATGTGAATAATTATTAGTTAGTAATGAAGAAGAAAGTAGATTAAGGTTTCACATTTTGATTCTATGCCCTTATTATTACTATTATTATTTCAAGTTTGACTACAGATCAATATCATTTAGGGAACCATTGAAAACCGCCAGAGAGTACTGAACAGCTGTTGTATCCAAGTTTGGGACTAATCGGCAATACGTGCCTACTGGGTTTTGAATCCAGGACCTTCCAGTTACAAGGCAAACTCGTAGATCATTGAGCCTGTGTGACCCGATTCAATAGCCTATGAATGGTTCTCTAAAATATATCGATCAAACTTAACAAATCGAATCCCTACAAACTAACTCTTAAAAACTATTATTATTATTACAGTTAGTTGATCAATGAAAGTGTAATTTAATATAGAACATTCTTTTCTTCCATCAATATCGATTTTTTCATCTATATCCCCCCAAAAATACAAGGATATGTATGTGTATATCTCATGAAAGTTACATAAAAGAGGATTACACCTGTTTCCTGCATATTTATCCCAACATGTACGCATTTGCAACTACTTATTTTGATAAAGGGAAGCACTTTCTGACTACAGATGAAGTAGATTAGAGCTTTCCACAGATGACCTTCCACATCTCAAGAAGAAAATTTGGAAAGAGAATATAAGTCGAATGACATCATCATGGACATATATATATTTATAAGTGAAGAAGTGATGTAATCAAAGAGTAGTGAAGATGCTTGAGAAATTTCGTTGAGAAGAAAAGTGTTGCTAGAACTTCATCAGCCGCATGTGTTACCGAGTTATTGATCGGTAGGGTGTGTCTTGCACATATTAGACTGCTGCTCAGTTAACCTTTAGTTATTTAAATTCAATTTTCAACTCATTATGAATCTGGTACAATATCTCAACCTATTAACTACCGGATGAAAGTTTAGTTTACTTTCTTTTTTAGGTATATAATGTTATTTCCTTAATTTCAATGCTTGTCTACCATTCCTCTCTCTGTCCATATATATATATATATATATATATATAAACACTTATGCATTGAAGAATTTATCTATTTCAAAAGTGTTCTGTCTGATATCTTCGATTGCTTTGAGATGACAAAAGCAAACAATTGTTTACAAACATCATTAATAGTATGTTGATACTGACAGTAATCAATATTTGCATTGTTTATGCATAGAAGAGACTGAATTCATTGAAAAAAGAAAAATGTATGGCCTAGATGAGCTATACTGAATTAAGTTTAAATTGTATCTTTAAAAATGGTATTATACTACTGTAACAATTAGTATCTGTGTTATTTATGATGAGCTTATAATGATGACATTCATGAAGACTAAGACGTCCATATTGATTTTTTTATTGATTCCCTAAATTCAAAAGTTATTTAGTGTAAAGAGAGACGTATTTTGAAATGTATTTGTGTATGTCCTGTTTGTTTACTTGGTGGATGACAATGCTTGTTCACAATGTAACAACAGTAATACTATTATCGTCGTTGTCGTAAATTAGGTGGAACTTACAGTCCAAGTGAATGACTATGATTTTTTTTTAGTTGACAGTGTAGCAACTGACGCTCACTATGATTCGAGGGAATTCAAATGGAACTCAATATCGTACGCTTCTATAAAACAACCAACATATAAAATTTGAAGACAACGCATCACTGATTAGTTTTCAAAAGTAATCCGAGTAATAATGAAGAGAAAATAAAAGAGAAAGATAAATTCTGCTTCCATATTAGGTAAATTTATCTTAAATATCACACAGTGATGCAGTGCCCAAGTTCTACACTTACATTAATAATTTCTGCTTAGTGAGTAAATTATTCATATGAACTGTGATCAAGAAGTTCGGACCAGATTGCCGAACGAAACGTTGGAATTAATCATTTCAATTTCGCTGAAATTTTACAAATATAATTTTATAAGAGTAAATTATTCATTCATAACTTTGCAGTTAAACAATAATTTGTTTTATTTCCACTTCTTGTTTCTATGCATTTATCCAACCGTGGTGGTTAATAGTTATGCTGAGTTTGCAAGACGAGCAGGTCTTGACGGTGTCGCGTATATTTTGGTGATGCGTTTTCGTGTATTTCAGGTGTTTGCATTCACACCTTTCTTCGTTATATGCTGTCCTTTATTCTTCATGTCTGCAGAATCAGGTAAATTGATATGGCTTATTGTATTTATCTTTAGTGTTTTTGTTTTGTGACTTCAACAGTATGTATTTGTTTCATTCTTCATATATCCTTTTGTTTATATTAGAAAGTTGTAAATAAATAAATTTTGTCACAAGTTACCTATCAAAATAGAATTTATTTAGTGTAATCTAGTAACTAAAAAAAGATTTGCAAGACGTCTACAAATGGAACGTACACAAGTTGCGCGATCTTATATATTTTCAGAGTATAGGAGTTAAACTAATGAGTTGCTGCCTCAGAAAGTCAGTAACAATCGAAAATCAACTCAAAAGCATTAAATTATAAATATTTCCATCTTTCTGAATAAATTCCAATAACTAGCTAATGAACTGTGATCCTTCGGCTAGTGTGTTCACTTTCACATGTAGAAGTCACCAAATCATATTCTTTTGTGCTTCGCTGGTTTATTTGTAGAATGTTCGCCAACTACTTACGTGGTCCGGGTTCCATTTTCGTCCGATTCACTGCTAAACCTCGTTAAGGCAGTAGTAATCTCGGTAAAGAGAGAAGGTTGGACGAGAAGGTAATAACTTCATCCTGTAAAACTTCAAGGCTCATGCTTGAAGTCCTATTTTCCACTTGGAAAGTAAAGGAATGTGAGAAGTCAATCTTATAAGTTTTAAAAGTTTAAGAAGCGGATTTAAATAGTTTCTCAGTATTCTTTAGTGATCTCGTAGTGTGTCACTAGTGGTTTACAGCTGAGCAATATATATCAGTGTGAACAAAATCCCAGATATTCCATCCTAATGCACTACATTTGTAACGTATAAACCAGGCCGGGGTATTGGTTTCAAAATGACTTGCAGAAAATGGAATCGTCAGAGTACTGAATGAATATTTGTTATTAGATATTTGGAGGCAATCGGCAGGAAGCCCTGGACCTAGGTTTCTTGCTAATTAGCGTTCGTCAGCAAGGAGCATCTGCAACCTTGAAGGAACTCATGTCCTTCCTGAAATTCGAACCCTCGTCACTCAGTGCTGCAGTCAGAGACGTTACCGCTGAGCTATTCGTAAATAAATCGTAAATAAGAGTTTTCTGTAAATAGTTTTGGAGTTAATCGTGACTATGTTAGTTTAAACTGTCAAGGTTTTTATTACTTATTCAGAAAGAGGAATATATTTTAATTAATCAATAGCATCAGACTTTATGACAGCAGTTACTACTGTTAATCATCCTACTGTATATGATACACACAGTACCAGACTGTGACCTCTATCTTTTGTCTCCTATTAGCTTGTTATCTTTTCTACTCTCGTAAACATATACATATATATGTTTATATTTATATATATATATATATATATATATATATATATATATTAAAGATGCACGTGGTGCATGTGTTAAACATCCTCAGTTTTTTTTTAAAATAGCTTCATTTCACTTTTTTTTATCTCTACCATGCTAGCTATCATCTATGATTTTAAGGTCTCTAATTAATTGCAGTGTATACTTGTTTTGCATGAGCCTACCATAGTTCCAGTGGTGCATTACTCACTGGCCACATACGTGGTCCGAGGTTTGATTCCCGACCGACTTATTCTTAAACCTCGCGTAGTTTAGTAGTCAGTGGTATCTTGGAAAAGAAGGAAGGTTGGATGTGACGCTAGCTAAAACACTACCGCTATTGAAATTTCAGGGCACAAACTGGAAGCTATATTTTCCACTCAGAACGTAAAGGGATGGAAAAAAACCCACATTTTCTTATTCATTGGTTTAAGGACTCAACTTTCAGCCAATGTATCTCTAGCTTCTAATCCCTCTCTGTCTACTTTAGCTTGTGTAACTGGATAGTATCATTATCCCTGACGCAATAAGCATGGCATGTAACCTGGTAGGTGAGGAATTTGTTCAGGGTAACTAACTTCTAACAGGTTACTCTTATTACTCTGCATCAACGTATTATTATTATTCTCTTGGGTTTCGAGTGGAACATAGGGCTTCAACAACACATCTCCACTTTGTTCTATTTTCTGCTGTCCTCTTCAGGTGGCCCCACGATCACCCGTAATCTCTGGTCTCCTCGTCACACGATCTCTTCCATGTCACCCTCGCACCGATGACTCACTCGTCGCTTCCTATTGGAATTCCACTCGAGTGATGGCCTGCATTGCGTGCGATGTCATTCGGCTCTCTCCTCAGTGTATGCCCGATCCATCTCCTTTTTCTGCTACATATTTGCTGAGCAGTGGGCTCTTCGTTGCTTCGCTGCCATACTTTCTTGTTGCTAATTCTTTCTGGTAGGCCATGGGATCTTCAGTATGCAGTCAGTGAAGGCGGCTACTGATAAAGGTCTGTAACATGTTGGAAATCCTTTTCGTGTCGCTCAGTGGAAGTTCCTGACCAATACAGAAAATCTTAATCTTGTTATTTATGGTGAGTTAGCGCAGAAGATTTCCAAACTGGTTTCAGGTTGATAGAGGTGTACCTTGCCTTTACGATTCCTGCTTTGACATCATCATCCGTCCCGTCTGTGGTTGAGACAATGCTTCCTAGATAAGTGAACGAGGTAACCTCTGTTAAATCTCTCTCATTGATAGTGATTGCAGCTGGTTGTTGTTACTGTTGCTGTTAGTTGGTCATCGTAACCTCCGTCTTTTCTATGTTTACCTCGAGTCCTGCCTTCGATGGCTGCTTCTTTAGCCAGTTTGTTGGTTTTCGCCTGTAGGTCTTCGAGTTTATGTGACATTAAACATAAATGATCTGCGAAATCCAGATCTTCTAGAGTCTTCTTATCGGTCCATCGTATTCCTGTCTTCTCATTCCTCATGCATAGTTTAACGCATAATCCAGTTCATCCCAATTAAGCTTATCGTTGATGATAATACGCAGCCTTGTCACTTCGAACGCCTCGCTGAGCTTTCCATCTTGGGTCACCTGACACGTGGGGGCATTGTCATATAGCCAGCTGCTGAATGATGCTGATCAATATTTGGGGCCGTAGTGTTGAAGTAATTTCCAAATTACTTCTCGGACAACACTGCCTGCTGAAGGTCTTTTCGAAGTCGATGAAGTTAAGGTGCAGGTTTGACTGCCATTCTATGCTTTGTTCGATGATGACGATACTTAGAATTGCGATTTGATCAGAACGTGATTTGCCTTCCCTGAATCCGGCCAACTTGTTCTGGGTTTACGGAGTTCTGCATCCAGTGCATCTTTTATTCTCTCCAGGATGATGTCACTTTGTATTTCACTTGGCGTGGACAACAGCATTACTCCACGCCAGTTCTTGCAGAGTGAGGTGTAAGTCGCCCTTCTTTGGTAGCTTGACAAGGTAGTCAGCCTTTCTTCCAACCAGTAAGCACCTTTCCTTCCTTCCAAACCTTTTGTAATAATGGCGTGGGCACAACTGTCACAGTCTCTGGGTCCGTTTTCAGTGCTTCGGGGTGGGAGAATTCTGTCTGGTCCTGCTGCCTTCCCGATTCAAGAGTCGTTTGAAGTGATCAGCCCACTGTTTTATTGTTTCTCCTCCTAGGTAATCAGGTTCCCTTGGGCATCTTTTATTGGTTTCATCATCTGGATTGATCTCTTCTTGGACAGCGATCATCCTGGGTATCTGATATAATGTCCTGAGGTCCTGCATTGTCCTTTATCTTTTCTAGCACTTGTTACGACTGAAAGGAACTGACTCGTAGCCAATTTGTTATAACTGAACTGAACTGAATAAATCCGTCGCTATTTTGTTATGTCTGCGCCTGTTAATTACTGTGACGGTAATGAACTCGACTGGTACGCTAATACGTCTATTTTTCCTTTGTACCTTCCGATTCACTGAGCCGCGCAAATATCAAAAGTCAAAGGCTAGCCTGTGACTGTAAGATATTGTATTATACATTTTAGAAAACAACACATGATATTTATACATTTTCTTTACCATAATAAAGTCGGCTCACAACCTTGGGAATGGATCTTTCTTATTGACTAGAAATGTCTATCCCCTTTTGTTGGTGATGCGACAAAGACCAAGGTGAGACAAAAGACAATGAAGTGATCACACACTTAATTACAATATGCGTGAGAAATGATAGATCCACATAGTAACTCTATCACAAGATAAATCATGCTATTCGTGAGAAAGGATGATATACTATTTTATGCGGGGTCTTATCAGCACTCTCTTCACTTCTTTATTCAGTGGACTGTACGTTGAACTCAGCTTCTCTTTCTGCTGCCCATCTATGCATTGAGTCATCTTCTCTTTCACCATCCTCCTCTCTTCTATTAGCTTCCAGGTAGGTGTCCGTTGAGAGCCATTCTTTGTCTTTTCTCGTGATTCTTCCCAGACCAGTTGTACACGTTTCACACAGGTTTACTCAGTGATGCCACATAGTGTCCCCGACTTTGCTCTGGTCTAATCTGTAGTGAAGGTAGGTATCCCTTGTAGTTTTTTCCTTCAGTTTCTGAATGTTGAGCTTGAATTGTGGCATGTCTCCATTTGTTTTGAGGGATTTGAGCTTCAGAGTTGAAGGTTCCTTGAACTTCATGACTGCCTGAGCCCACATCTGCTCTCCTTCTCGACTTTGTGTCCAGCAGACTGCCTCTCTATTTCCTTGAGAAACATTGAGATGAAATCTATCTGGTTTGTGGTGTATCCATCAGGTGAAATCCATGTTGCTTTGTGTATATCTTTGTGCGTGTACACAGCATCTACGTATGTTGTTATTTTAATCATCTTTAATATGGTTAATTACCCTCACTTTAATTCAAAGAGATACATTTAAGGTCATCACAAAGTATGTTTCTGGTATGTGTTAGGTTGTTACCGGTGTTTTATGCCCTCACATGGTAGGTATTTATTAAGCATGTCCCTTTCGATGTTCAATCCTTTTATCACCATGACCTAGTTCTGTGGTTGTTATAAAGTAGGTAACCATTTTGGTGGTCTTACAAATTTTCATTAGCCTTTTTTAAAAACATGAAGAGAAATAAATACACAACCACATGTTTATTTGTCTGAATGACCATGTATTACAACCACACCCAATATGTAGCTAATATTTGTCATAAGTTAAAATAAAGTAAGACTGTTCCTTAGATGAAATCCAGATGAAATAAAATTGATCTGTTTAAGGAATCTACTGGATAATGCATTCACTGCTAGTATTTTGATTGTGCCACTAAACCTAGATTTATTTTTTTCTTGTGTTGTCTCGGCTGGACGGTTCGATTGAAAAGCTTGCATTGTCGTTAACTTCAAACTGAAGTTAGCACCGAAGATGTTGTCTAGACACAGACATTGAAAGCTTTACAATTAAATTACGCAGTTCAGAAAGGACAACAACACTAACTAAATACATCAACAAATCTCCTCGATCATTTCAAATCAAACGTGTATTCGATCAAAAGGTCTATAGGAATAATTCAGATACTTGTTGAATTACTATTTGACTGTTTATTTCCTTACCGGTGGATAATTTTAAGATTGAGTTACATCACGCGTATTAGCACTTTCAGTTTAGTGAACAGTAATTCCTTCTCTTCAGACACAGATTATGATATCTTTCATCAGTGTATCGTTGTTCACCAGTCTCTACACATACATTTTGAGCCACCTAAGGAGGTATGTACTGCCTGGTTGGGACCCTCGGGACGTTAAGAACCAATGGTTGTAGACAACGGATGATATGGCTCAAAGTTGTTCTCAATGGCACAGATGTATCCACACTTTGTGACCTCCAATATCCAATAAATCTTCATGTTTCTCCAAGTTAATATCCTTTCTCCCGTACATTTATGCTCATAACGGTTCTTTTGATTCCCTTTTGCTTTACTTTCTTGACCTTCGTGTGCCTCACGGACTGTGGCAACTTCAACTGTAGCACTTCTGTGCCAAGTTCTATGTTGAAGCTGAGTCAATCATTCAAGACTAGTAACCGGCTTTGATCAGTGGTTATTGAGTGTAAATGCTTAGTTTACTGAAGTGTAAGCTGAGTGTTTGTCATCTTTGACAGACGTTGACTAGATGTACAGAGATCTTATACGGGTACAGAAATACCTATTAACTAGTTTGTAAACTATGAACTCAGTCAATCGGACCGTTTTTCTATAACATTGATCACCACATTAATTAAAAAAATGAAGTAAAAATAGAAAGAATAATTGTATCATCTTTGGATTCACTTTTCCCCTTTTTTCTAAGTCTACTGTACGCATTAGTGTAAACTTCCACGATGCTGCCGCACTCTACGATTGTAATATGTTTGACGTAGCCTATCTAATTTATGCCACAATTAATATACAGCTATTACCTAAAATGTTTTATCACGCTCAACAAAATATGAGATGAAATACAACGCATTAATCATATGCTTATTTACTGCACTGGGCGGTCATCTACGTGAACTGCATATGGGCTGACAATCCAGACTGTGACTCTGAGTATCAATACAGATGCAGAAACTGGTCACTATCACTGCTTTACAATTATCTGTGATACCTGAACTATTAACCATTCATTAATTATACATCTGCGATTACAACCTGATTAACTATTTAATCAAAAGAATAATGTGATATGAAGGTATAACAAAAGCTACTAGTTTGTGCACCGTTCAGTCAGTTTATTTGTGTTTTATTTATATTAATTAGTTTGTTACTTGTTTGTTTGCTTTCTATTGAAATCTTTGTATGTCACTGTAGGAGTTTATACAAATTGTTTACTTTTTGTTTTCCTCTTTTTAAAAAAAATTTTTTGATCTTTCTGGGGATTATAATGTGAAGAGAACCAATTCAGACGTCTATCAATAGCTAATCTTGGATTAACCGATGTGTAAGTGCCATGTGTGAATAACTTTATTTTACCTCTTACTATTATTTGTTAACCTAACACCTATAAGTATATATTTCCCATGAAATAAAGTGTTTTACAGAATGCCTATTTGTGTACAACAGAATATGTGAAACAATGGTTGTTAGATTGTGCTTTAATTACCTTATACTTTAAAATAAGAAAAACCAATGTCTTTTGTGTATTTCTTGTTGTTAAAATGCAGTCGCCAAATGAATCTATTATTTCTCACAGGACAATTGGAAAAGAATTATTAAAACTAGGGTAACCTGATTCTTCCTACTTTTTGTGTTTGGTACATAACTCGATTTGCTGAAGTGATATTTACTTGACTGATGTCACAAACATAGTTTACTACTCATTATAGTGAGTGTCAGCGGTTCATTGTTAGACTGCTCGCCAGCCAGGTAGGAGATCTGGGTTCAACACCTAACCGGGGCACTATTAAATCTCAACTTGTTCATCAGCTTGGAAGAGAGGGAAGATTGGGTATGAGGCTAACAACACCCCTGCTACCAAAACTGCAAAGCTAGAAACCTTATGTCCTAATCAATAAGCAAAGGAATAAAAAAAAGTTCATTATGGTAGATCAGTGTATGGAAAAAGGCTTTTGCTGAGATTTTGAAGTGATAATGGTGAAATCCTAGATAATTTTCTCCTGGAGAATATATCGAAATCTTAGCATTATTTCAAGTATATATGAAGTTAAAATAGGGGGTTTTAAGCAGGGATTTCAAGGTTTTTTAGCCGATTGCTTAAGTGAGTAACAAGTTTTCACCATTGAAAATTAGGATTTGTATCACACTTTGTCATTTGAAAGTTGTATTTAATTTCCTTGAAAACCTAAGAAATTCGGATCAAACCATATATTTTCAATTAGTTACTTTATTTATATTTATATATGGGATTAGATGTAGGGCATTAGGTAAGGGTGGAAAGCCACTGGACAAGGTGGCTTGAGAATGTACTATTGATATCGAGAAACTACGTCTCTCGATGTCGAATGTTACCTGAGACAAGATGAAATCAGCTCTTGAATTCGGTGAATTTTGGTCTAAATTACGAAAGTAGCTGTAAATTTTATCGCATTCGCTTCTCACTATCACTGCAGATTTTGAACGTCTATACTACTCTCGATTAAATTATATTTCCATCGACACCTTCATCCATTTTTATCTTAAACTGAATGCCTTTCCCAACTGTGGAAAGGTGAACTGATGTCAAATCTATGATCTCGTTTGTTATGAAATTGATAACCCGAATATGTTGAGTGTCTTAAAGGTAAGGTTTGTCTACATTATTATACTTCAGAAATTGCTAGTTCGGGTATTATGAGAAATTTTACTCGTTAAGTATGTATTTTAAAACAGTTGCAGATTTAAGCACTGCTTTTAGGACACTGAAATCACACGTTTAGAATGAGGTTAGCATAATGATGTTTTGAGTATCTTTACCACCAGTTATTTGAACTGACACTAGGTGGTGATGACAGAATTATTCGCCGTTTGAAACGATGGGCTCAGTGTTCGAGTCTCAATGGTAACACTACCACTCACTGGAAATGCAGGTACATCTAGCTGACGAGTCCCAAATGGGTCGAGGTGCACATCCTTGATTCCACTGCTAGTTACGATAAACCGAAATAAAATATAAGCTTATTTATATCGCTGGTCAATATGTGGTTTCACCGATGATAACATACATTCTTTTTTAAATAGCGTTTAATAAATATTCTTACTGATAAATATGAAAATGGAATGTGGCCTTCTTTAGAAGAGACTAGTCTATAATTGTTAATTTGAGCATAAATTTTTATCACTTACCAACAACAATTGGAGAAGGATTTTCAGCCGTCTTGTTCTAGTTTGGGATTCCTCAGCAGTGCATATCAACGATCTTACTACTGGTCGAACCCAAGACCTTCTGATTGCAAGGTGAACCTGTCGACCATTCGGTTGCCACGTTAGACTTCCATACCCCATGAACTCTAACTTGTGTCAATTTTCTGTATTGCACCACTGGTAGTGAAAATTTATACTTAATAAGAGTAAAAAAGAATAAAACGTAGATATTGGAAATGGATTTTAAAAATTACTTAAGACTTCTGTCAAAAACAAATACTCATAAGCAATTCACACAGATACATAAGTATATTCACTTTTCTATTTTCATGCAATGCAAATAATAAGAAACACATTTTACGCATGTATTTTCAATAACTAACTTTTCATAGTATCCAGTTTTTTCTTTGTTATTAAGATTTCCTTCGGTAGTCTGATCTAATATAAAACTATGTGGAGAAGAAATTTTTGTTTTTGTTGCATAAATTACGTTTCATCATAACAACTTTGATGGATAAACTTATATATAAATACATACATAATATTGAAGTTTTAAAAGTGTAAATTTCGGATCACTCACTCTGAAAAAAACGAGGTGGTTTTACAAAGTAATCTATTATAGTATGTGATTTATTTACAAAATGAGTAATACCTCGGTGTGTATGCCTTGCTTTCATGTTAAGCGAAGTAATGTTTCTACTCATATATATATATATATATATACATATATATATGCGTTTGCTCCAGGCTACATAGACTTCACTTGGAATGAGCTTAAAACTTGTCTGAATAACTCAAAAAATTTTGAAGATTTCCGAATTTTATTTTTATTTCATTCATTGATAGTTTTATTTTTAACTATCAATAAGATATGCAAAAACGTCAGCTCTATGTAGCCAGAGTTTGTTAAGAGGCTGTTTTATGTGACTGTAGTAAACACATATTACATATATTACAGAATATTCAGCGTATTCTACTGCAAAATACTTACGCTTCTTCAAATAAAGTAATAAATGACAGTATATTGTATATTTGTGAATCGAATGATCTCATGATTTTTCACTAATCAAATTGAAACTATTGATCTGATTTCTTTTTTTTTCTGGTTTTAAGAAATAAATTTATCATATTATCTAATCAGCCAAAAGTTGTGACAACTGCTCACCTAAGTATAATTGAAATTCCCATTATTGATTTCTGTTTTCTAATACGAAAGACTACTGACTGAAATGACTCTAAAATTTGGTGCAGAAATATTCGTTATCTATTGATTTTGTTTTTAAGGTGAATAATCGACCAGATGAATTTTGAGATGGATATTAGCTTGTGACTGTAGTACTGCTCTGTGTGTGTGTGTGTGTTTGCGTATGACTTTAGAAGTCAGCTCATATTTTTAAAGAACTAATTGGGTTTAGGCCTTTAGTTAAATAATTCACAAACGAAACCCGTTATTTGTATATATATATACATATATATATATATATATATATATCAGCTTAAGATGTAAACGACAGTTAAAAGAAGCCGTCGATTCTCATGACAGTTGTAAGGTTGACGACAATAATATAGGAATTAAATCAGAAATTAATTATCTTGGACTTATTCACTTTTCTGATCTCCCCTGGTCTTCCCATGTCTCAGCGATCTCCAGTAAAATATTCCGCCTGACATTTTACATTAAGCAGTTAAAGCACTCGGGTATAACTCAACCCCTCCTCTTACAGTTCATAAACTCTTGCATCCAACCTATTCTTTTTTACTGTTCACCCTTATTATTTCCTGGTTTGCTTAAAAAGGACTATGTCACAATTCGTAGAATGCTGAAGACTGTCAGTAGGATGAGTGGTGTCCCAATGAACTACATAGTTGACGTCGTTGTCGATAGGTACTTGACTTCGTGCAGTAAATTCGTTAAAGGGATTTTGTCTGACTTGGAGCATCCACTTCACCCTCAGCTTTCACCTTGCATCTCCTCAGGTAGAACAAGAAGTAACTTCAGGAAACTGTATGCTCGCACATCTAAGTATAAAAATTCTATGATACCATACTTGGCACATATTTTATGTGATGAAAATAGCGTCAGGCAAGAATTGACTAACCTTTTTTTCATCTAGTAAATAAACAATCTCCTCCATCCATCCTTATATACCTTCAAGTTTTACTTTTATTATTTCTATTATATTTATGGTCCTGTTGATTCTTTGTTTTCACTTTCATAACTGCAAACACCAACTTATTTCTATGACTGCTGTAATCTTTGTTTTTTCCCTCACCATATCATGTAAAGAGAACATTATATTAAATATTTTTAATCGTGCTAGGATTTGTATACCGCATCGACAATACTGTGTGAAACAAGCCCACGGCAATTTCCACTTGTATTATTATCATTACCTTAGCTGCTATCATTATTATTATTTCCATTTTATATGCTGCATGTTTTTTGACATTACCCCTATTGTAAACGTGGAAAATTTTCTGCGATTAATTTTATTTATAACTTGAGGAAATTAGATGCAATATTGTGATTAATGCTGAAAATTCCATTCTGTATCACAAGTACTGTTTTTGGAATAAAGCAAATCATTATTATTATTACTATTATTATTATATAGTTCCCAATCATATCACTTGTAACTACACAACTTGGAAACTTGACTTTCTTCTTTCTCAATTGTCGTAGGCGTAGTAGAAATTTTTGGAAGTTTAAGATAGGCGTTGAGTAATTCGTGTTGCGCATATTCAAAGTGGATTAAATAAGTAAAGCTGTAGATATCAGTCTCTCCCTCAACCCTGTTCTGTTAGAATTTAGAACTGTCATCCTATTGTATGGTTGTGTGTAACTGCCTCTAGAGTTATAGTTGAAGTCAATACCTGTTTCGGATATCTAGAAAATTCTACTACCTTTACGACAAATAGGAAAGATGAAAGAGAACTATAAAAGTTAAGTTTCGAAGTTGTGTAGATACTGCTGATATGATTATGAAAGGTAAATTATATCTGAAACGTTGCTAGCAAACCACTGCAACACAATGGATATTCATGCTGAAGGTCCTGGCCTTTAATATATATGTGCGAAATGTTGGCATTGTGGTAGTACGCAATTCCGTATTGATTTGCTTATTGAATATATATCATACCCCATTATTATTATTTTCTATAGATGGTTTGTAAGGATTAGTTTTGTTTTTACGAGTTGATCACGGAGAAGTCGTGGCCAGTGGGGTCCTTCCAGTCAAGTGTGAGGATGCATGTCCCACCGACTACATTGGTTGGGGTCGCGCTAAGTCACGGATTGGTAGAAGTTAGAATTCATGGGCTGGCCATTGAATCGGGTCCCAGTGGCCGAATGGTATACGAGCCTGTCTTGTAACCGGGAGGTCCTGGGTTCGAACCCCAGTGGGTGCGTACTGTCAATGATTGCCAGATTATTACTATTATTAAAGTATAGTTCCCTTAGGTTCTGAGTGACATATAGGGCTTCAACAACACATCTCCACTTTGTTTTATTTTCTGCTTTCCTCTTCATCTAGCCTCACGATTTCCTATTATCGCTCATTTCCTTTTCACACGATCTCCATGTCACCCTCACATGATGACCCACTCGTTGTTCCCTATTCGGATTCCACTCAAGGACCTGGCGCTCCATTTCACACCTCACTGTGTGATTGTAATGACCTAGCAATGACTACGAGGCCAACTACATGAGTAACACTAGTAGATTTTGGGTAGTCAGATTACCGCAACATAAGGATTTAGCTGATTGTAGAATGATTGACCTCACGAAGATGAATTGCTTAGAGAGAAACTCAGCAGTCGCAATGCATTCATTAACACAATCACACGATGGGATGCGGCAGAGCTACATTTATAAAAATTAAAATTGGTAGGTGTAGAAAGAGGTTGATCTCTGAATCTTCGTTCATCGAATCTACACCTAACACGTGCGAAGAGAATGATTCAACGCCAATACCATTTGCATAGAATAGCTTTGTAATTTTACTTTTTTGCTTTCTTGAACTGTATAAAAATAATCATCGATCATTATAGTTCAGACGATAAATATTCCACTGTTTTACTAAACATAATCTATCTATGGTGTAAATCAGTTCTGTGGACTGAATGGTTTATTCGTGAAGCTTTTATTGTCTTGCTAAACAACATCTTCAGCTCTAACTTTCAGATAAAGTTTCACTGGAATTACATCTGATGTATTGTTAACTTATATGTTGTTAAATATGCATTCATGTTACAAGTAGGATTTTCTTCAACGGTGCTGTTAGCAGTCTGTTTCGTGAGTATACATTCTATGATTAGTATGTTTGAGTCAGTAGGCTTCTTTATGGTCTATTTATGCTTTTAATTTCCTGTTCGTGTTAACTGGACTGAATTGACCAACCTCATTTTAGCTCCTTGAATGTATGCTTCAAAATCAATATGATTACTAACTGGAAGTTACTTGTTGGATGGTGGCTAACAGTAGAATAAAACACGCGCGTCTCATCTCATTTAACATTCATCAGCTTGATGTGCCTGCTTTTTGGCGATCGTACTACTAGTGAGACTGTAACCTAACATCCGTTGTCCACTAAGTTATTAACAAAAACGATGTGCAATGAGTGACTTTGAGTTAGTAGTCGTGGTAATATTGAGGTATATATTAAAGAAACTGTATAATCCCTTATCTATTCGATGAAGCTTCAATAAAATATCTTCCAGAATGAAAATTTCCATTCTCACGTTTAGAAATGACATTTATTCCTTCTCATGTAGTTCCTCGTCAACCGCTATACACTTAGCCAATAGATGAATATTCTACCTTTTAAATAGTGATACTTTTCTCGTTTTAGCTATTATCTTCATTTTTGGAATTATCTCCACCACCCTTATTATTATTATTATTGTATCCTTTAATTCCTACAGGAACATACGGCTTCAGCCGTGCGTCTCCATTGCGTTCTGTTCTCTGCTAGAGTCTTCACCTGGCTCCATGTCTGCCCACACGTTTTCATCTCCTCTTCACATGACCTCCTCCAAGTCACCCTTGCACTGACGACCAACTCGCCGCTTCCCTTTCGGGTTCCACTCGAGCGATGGCTTGTCTAGTGATGTCGCTTGATGATTTCCTAAGAGTATGGCCAACCAATCTCCATTTCTTCCTGCCTATTTGTTTCACAATCGGTTCCTGGTTCACACCACCCTTATACTTGAAAATTTATATTTCTTATCAATTCACATATTTCTATGTCATTGGAATAGTAATAATCATAAGTTGTGGATTAATTTGAAGAGTTTAACAGAGAATTAACTAAAAAACATTTCTTTAATTTTACTGTTACTTTGTAAATTTTCTCTCACATGTTGATTTTCCAAGGTATTTGTTTACTTACCACCGTGCTGATAGAAACACTTCTTACTTTTTCTCATTTGCTAATGTGGAGTAAAGCGACATCAAAGTTCACGTAAAAATACCTAAACATTTTCTTACTCCGCAGCAAATGAGTTTGGTTTTCTTTTGCCAAGACCAATAGTAGTAAAATGCGCCCTGTAGAAAATGATTGATGGTTTCACTTTGATCTGATGTGACCACCGTAAACGCCGAAAAACGTTGTGATGAATACTTCAACTTATGATTTTAGAAAAAACACATCATAGTGTCACGATATTGATAAATGTTACTTACAGAATATTCAGACGCTACTTTGAATGATACCAGTCAATTCTCAATTCTAATGCTGGAGTACAGTTGCTGTTAAATTTTTTCTGTTAACTTAACCCACAATATGAATTAGACGGATTCCCGACAGTTTTAATTCCTTACATCATAAGTATTGTGACCAAGTCTAGAATTCTAAATTTCTTACGGAAAACATCAACAGCTTAATACTAGACCACCTAGTTCACACTGGCCACAAAGCTAGCTTTGAAGAATCCTTCTCCATCATTTATCGCCTACCGAATAAATTGCCTAAAGCATCCAGGTACCGAATAATCCAAACAGCTGTGGCTATCGCGATTCGCCTGCAAAAAAAACCAGTGCTCTGTGTGCAGAAGAAACAAGTCCAGCCACAACTACTGTCCTGGCCTTCTGTCGACCCTATAAATTCATGAATTCTGTATTATTATCTTTCCTATTTTTTTTTATATTCAGTGTATTGCTATGTTAATGCTATCGACCTGTAATCCATTGATATTATTATTATTATTGATTCGATGTTATTTAAACAACATTACTGTTGGTAGTAACACTATTTGATTCACTATTATGTATATATATATATATAACTGTAGAAGCCGATGACGAAGTTATCGAAAAGAATATCCTTCGTTCAGTGACCAATCTTCTGCAACTCTTCATGACGGGAGGATTTGTTGAGAAATACTTCAAAAGTAGAAGTAACTAAAATTTGTAAATAGACTGTTTCAGATAGTTGCTTCGTAGATGATAAAAATAAAACAAATTCAAGAGTTGATGTGAATTTTTTTGTCATCTAATTTCAAAAAAGGTTTTCACAACTGAAAAACAATGACTTTTGTAATATCTGACATGTGCTTTTTTTAAAAGAAACTATATATCAACGGAAAATAATATCAGACCTTAATAATTTCTGTTATATTAAGCAATTTTTATGCGAATGATTATACCCGTGTTGATCTGTTAGCTCTCTCTCTCTTCCTCCATCTGATTGTCAGTTATTACCCATTATTTGATTAGAATTTTTTTTCTTCACGTTCCCCAGTGGAACATAGGGCTTCAAGCTAGAGGCTTGAAGTTTCTGTAGCAGTGGTGATTATTTTTACAGGATGGGGTTGCTAGCCTCATGCCCAACCTTTCCTCTTCACCAGTCTTATTTCTGGCTAAGCGAGGTAAAGGAGTGCGTCGGCCGGGGATCGAACCCCAGACCATGTGCATGGTCGGCGAGCGTCCTAACCGCTATGCCACCGACGCCCTGATTAGAAATAAGCAGTGCTTAATCTGTTAACAGAGTGGCAGTGAACACTTTCGAAGACTAATATTCAGTCATGTCATCACAGGCTTGATGATGTGAATAAGTGACAGTCAGGTTGAATATCTGCATAATCCCAGCCTTTTCAAAAATTTTGATAACTACTACTTTAATACTGCTGTCGTTAATACTATTATTTATCAGTTAACAAATGAATCTACAGTTGTTTACTTCTTATTATTGTTGCATACAGAATATTTCTGCACTCCAATCAAACTAGGCTGATACACTTTTTATTTTGCTTTGTTTTGTTTTGTAGGCAGAGTGGATGGAAAGTATTCGGCCTCCTTGTTTTATCGATTGCACTGTATTTCTTAGTAACTGGTTTCTGTTTCACTGAAGCGTATACATGGCCAAGAAGATTAAAAATATGCAATAGTTGGAAAACAATGCCTACTAGAAGTAATAATGATAAATATGGTGGTCAACCAGCGGCAGCTGTAATTGATAATACAAATGTTAATGAACAAAATGAAAGAAGGACAATTGACGATGACTTTGAACACTGTGAATGTGATCGCATTAATCAGGTAAGCAAAATAAAAGAATAATGATAATGATTTGCTTTATTCCAAAATAGTACTTATGATACAGTGTGGAATTCTCAGCATTTGGTACAATATTGCATCTAATTTACTCGACAACACCAAAAAATAATATTTGCGCTATATATACGTAACCAGAAATGATAATAGCAGTGATAACAAAGTCAAATATCTACAAAAAGTGTAAACTAATGATAATAATAACATTAATAGCTAAAATTATAAGATAACTGAAATGCTGTCACTATAAATTACAAATAGGAGAAGATCAAAGAGCCATTTATTTTGCTAATTACATAGTAAGTTATAGGTTTCACGCTTAAAACTGTCTCTGTCACATAGAATGCAGGTCAAATAGAGTATCGTTGAGTTTTTGTATCTGGCGATACGAAAATATAATCGTTTATAATGACTTCTATTCCTACCTGATGAGATTTGCAAGGCGAGAGTTTTGAATAGAGAGGGTGTTAAGAGTCAGACAGTATGGATTTAGATCATTTTCTCACATGAGTTCAGGTGTCTGTCGACTACAACAGTAACGAGCTGACTTAGTGTCACATCACTTGCCCTACTGATAACCTTTAACACTCTACGCAATATTCCACAGTCATTTTTGAGTAACCGAGGAAAGAATAAGAGGGAGCGATAAAGAACGACAGGGAAGATGAAAGAGTTAACAAACTTTAAGAGTAGAGGTTGAGTGATGCCTACCTGATCGTCTTAACTTCTTAATATTGTGGGTTAGACGAAACATTTTCTTAGAAATAGACAAGATATAGGATGGCTGAGAAACGTCGGAGGATAGAACTATTCCAAGGTATTTTATTCTAAACTTAGTTTCTAGCTACACTACAAGCATCATGTGAACGGACCAGTTTGTGTAGATCACGTATATGCCTGAAAGTAAAGTTAACTGTCTGACATTTATAGGGATTTAAAGTAAGACCAATTAGCTTAGACCACTGGCTGATTTCCGACAGAAAGCTATTAAGTTTGGAACAGTCAGGTCGGGATGTAACTGACACCAACACAGTCAAATCATCAGTGCAGCTGATTTCATCCGAAACAGGTAAATCATGTAAGAAGAAATAAAAAAAGAAGAGGAGAGAGGACAACGTCCTGAACGATTCCAGCTTCAGTAAGTAAGTCCTAAAAAGAGTTGCCTTCTCCCTTAACAACAGAGAGTGCTGTTTTCTCAATAACTTCATCAGACTCTACAGTTAGATATCCATAATAGTAAGACAGTGATTGATATTGTCAACTATAATGTTTTAATATAACATCGACTCATTAACATCAACAGACTCCAATTCAAACGCATCTGTGTACGATAATATGCATTCCGGTTACTTTACGCACATTGTTATGGCTATTGCTGTTTGGGGGTTTCTTTACCCAAAGGCTTTTTGTAATTTATTTGGTGCTTAATGGATGACAGGAAAAGATCCTTCATTGCTGGCCTTTTTGGACCGTGGAGATCTAATATTGGACTGTGGGAGTTCTTAACTATACCCTTATTGAGCCACACTAGTCGATGTTCGTGAGCATGAAAAACTGAGTTCCGAGAGCAGCAGCCAGTATAAATGGCAGATACAGTAAGAGGTGGCTAGCCTAGGTACTTTGCTTTTTATTTGAGGAATTGCAAGTTTGTGTATGGAAAATATGAGCTGCAGATCATTGACATTAAAAGTTCTTCCAATTTGGCACATATTTTCTTCATCGTATGGACGATATTATTATTATTTGTTCCTTGTATAATTGCTATGATGAAATGACACAAGTAATCACATACACATTATCATTGAAGTTCAGAACTTAATTCATTCAAACTAACTTCATTTAGATTATATTCACGTGCTTCAGTTTCACACTTTTATTTTACCAGTCTTTATGTCCAAAAACTGTATGATGAGGATTTTTGGACACATGTTTGTTTTTCCTAATAACAACAACAACTCTTCAAGTGTTGGTTTAACAGGGATTAGATTCATTTTATCAGTACTCACCAATATCGTGAATTGGTAGAAGTCAGACTTGATGGGCCATTGTATTCTGTCTCAGTGGTTGAATTGTAACCCGACGTCCTGGATTCTGTCCCTTGTGGAGTCATGAGTGCCTACTGCTGCTATACTATGGTCCTCTAAATGAAGTCAATTCGTGACCAATATTGAAAATAACAATAATAACATCTTTATTCATGATAGAATATATAAAATGTACAGACTTTTCAGAGAAGTTGATTTGCAATTAATAGTGTTCTCTGAGCTGATTGGTTTAGTTACGAAGCTTTCGTCGTCCTTCTGGACAACATCTTCAGCGCCATATTTAGCTTAAAGTGAAATGATTTAAATTTCTTCATGAGTGATATAATTGCGAAAGCTTCGCAACTAAACCAACCAGCTCAGAGAACACTGTTAATTGCAAATCATCCACCTGAGCTACAAATCTTCTCTATTATTTCAGAGAAGTTGATTGCATGATATTTTCCCTTCGTACAATATCTTCAAGTAAAATATTAATTGACAGTATATCCTGTGACACAATGGTCTCTGAACTGAAGCACAAACCATTCCATTTTGATATATCTCCTTTGTCCCCTTCAATAAATCCACGATATCTAGTTGAAAGCCGATTATAAGATTTTCAGAAGTACATTTTGAGACCCAAGGACATAACTGAAGAACAGTTAGCTCATGTATTAGAACACGTTACCACATACAATCAGGCATCCCTCAAGTTTAGTAGGAACCAGTGAATCAGAAGTTTGTAAACATTTTAAATGTGCACACGAGTAGATAATATCACTAGAGGTCATATCCTTATGAGTTAAAACAAATCGAACTAGCGAAAATATATTAAATAGAGAGATGGAAGTTTTTGGACATTAATACATGTTTAATCATTGAAAAAATTTCACAAATTGTTTGAACAAACTTTTACTTAGTTTTTAAAAGATTTAAAACAATGTTTCTTATTTTCTTATGTTAAGTGATTCTTAAATCAAATTGATTAATAATTTCTTATTAATCTTTAATTTTCAACATAATACATGACTCAGTCAAATGTCGCGATTTGTTTTGACTCTGAAATGTGTTGAATTAAATTGAATTGTTTAATCATTTACTTTAATATGTTAGTAACTATGCCAAGACAAAAAGTGTAAATGTGACACCTATGTAATGATGAAAAAACCATTACAGTGAGAAAGTCCCTATCGGGAAGAATGTGCATTCATCAGTAGATTTCTAAGCATAATTATTATCGAAGAATAATTTAAGCATATTATCACGAATCACTGATACCTTTTAATCTTTTATAGATCAGATTATTTCTATAAGGCTAATGTCTTTCATTTCACGCATTTTTGAAATTAGACTGTTAAGTCTTTATCAAGTGTTGGTTGGCAGGGATTTGATTGATTATAGGTTTCATGACGAGCTGACATCAGTTAGAGAACCACTGGAAAACCAGGGAGTATTAGACAGATGTTTTGTCCCTCAGGTTTGGGACTCTTCATCAGTACTCAGCCACCGGGGTTCGAACCCAAGACCTCCCTGTTACAAGGTGGACTCGTAGACTGTTCAGCCACGTGGAACCGATCCAGTGGCTTACGAGTTTTAGGAGACTTTTAGAGGGTCAACACTACGTATATATTTCATCCATAAATCTTTGCATATAAATATGTATATATATGTGGTGGTGACATAAGGTGCTCAAGTAAATCTTTCTGTAATTAAAATACCTTTTCAAGGTAGATTTCGTCACCAGCCGACATCAGTTAGAGAACCATTGAAAACCAGTTCTCCATTACAGATACAGTAATATTAACTGATGACGTTTCGAGCACAAATTATTACTCATAATCATATCAAGTCTTGATATTATGTACAACACTGTGTGATTTATCAAAATAAAATCTTATCTATGATGGAGTTATAGTATAGTGTAGAACTTCTGATTGAGTTGCCACGGTGGGTTGTGCTCGAGTCGTAGTTTAACGATATACGCATATACATATCAATAGTGGAGTTATACTCTACTACAGTACCCAAGTTTTGTACTTATATCAATAAAACCAGCTCTCCCTGGTGACATGAGGTTGTATACTTAAGGGAACATCACTCCTTTCGAAGTTCCAGATATACGCCTTATTCACGAATATCAATAAATCTGAGACCCCTAGTCGAGGGATACCTACCTACTGCTTCCAACCACCAAACACGTCATTTTGATGGTTGTTTTAACCGTAATTTAAATGAAATAATGTTCTTTATTTGCACTTTGGTAGTAACCGACTATCGAATTTTGCTAGTAGTGTATGTCAAACAGTATTCTTAGGCTTCATTTAAAGGTAGAGAAAAGGAAGAAAATCAAAACAACTGTACTGAGCAAAAAGTGTATATGAAAAAGAAATCACAATGATTTAATGCCTCTGGGAGATCACAAAGAGTGAATGGATCTGTATCATTGAGCACAGTTTTGATCCAATGTCACCAACAGTCTTCAGTGATTAGTTCCTTAATTACGCAGTCTATACCTGCCTACATGGTTCAAACACACTGTCAAAAACTTAATGGAAAGATTCCTATGTTTTAATTACACAATGACTTTTTTATCTTTACAGAAAAAATATTTCTAAATAATAAGGAAGTTACAGGATTTCATCATGAGCTGACATCAGATAAAGAACCACAGGAAAACCGGCAGGGACTACTGGGCGGCCGTCTCCTCCGTACTAGTTGGGGACTTTTCAGCAGTACGCACCCACCGCCAGGGTTCGAACCCAGGACCTTCTGGTTACAAGGTGAGCGAGCTCGCAGACCATGAAGCCACTGGGATCTGATTCAAAAGCCACTCCATGAATTCTAGGTTCTACCAATTCACGAAATAGCGTGACCGCTAGCCAATGTCTTTGGCGAGTATTTTTCCTCACACCCGACCTGCTGCTGCACCCTACTGGTCACACTAGAACCCCAGGTAGCTTCTTACCTGAATACGGCCAGTCGCTAATGAGCATCTCATTGATTTTCAAGTATTGGTTTGAAGGGATTTTGATTGATTGGTTGCAGGATTTCATCATGAACTGATATCAGTCCAGTACTCCCAGGTTTTCCAATGGTTCTCTAACCGATGTCAGCTCATGATGAAATCCTGTAACCAATCAATCAAAATCCCTACAAACCAATACTAGAATATAATAAGGAAGTTGTTTTTTCTAAGAAATACTCAACTTTATAAATGTGTTAAAAAGTTTCTTTCTTTGATTTTATTTCTTTAATACATATTTATATCAGATTCCAAATGTAATCATGCTAACGGGTGTTAGAAGTGATACTACCGAAGAATCACCGGTGAGGGAAATCAAAACATTCTTCGAGTGAGTTCTCTCTCTTTCGATAATTACTAATGAATTTTTTAAATATTATTTGGCAGAACATGGTTATAAAAGATAATTAATCAGAAGTCTTATTTAAAATTTCTACTTCATTAAATAGAGGAGGTAACAACAAAGAAATTTTTCTTTTCATTGAGTCATTTTCAAAAGCTGTACTGTCGTAGATATATTCAACAGATAGTTCATAAAACCAATGAAATATTGATATTTGTATTCTGGAAAAATGTCTTACATATTGCGAGGGGTAATCTACTAAGTAATGGGAAAATGGAGGATAAGAAATAAAAGTTGATGTCACGTTATGTATGTAGAAATGGTCTAATATATCTGTATGTGCAAAATGTATAAAATGGTGGAAATACGGTAGTGTTTAAGTTAAATCAGTATGAGTAATGCACGTAGCGGTTAGGATGCTCGCCGACCATGCTCATGATCCGGGGTTCAATCCCCAACCGACACCCTCCTTTACCTCGCTAAGCCAGAAATAATGCTGGTGAAGAGGAAAGGTTGGGCATGAGTCTAGCAACCCCATCCTGTAAAATAAACACTGCTACAGAAACTCCAAGCTACTAGCTTGAAGCCCTATGTTCCACTGGGGAATGTGAAGGGAAAAAAATGATAATGAAATAATAACTGTAGCCACAATAATGAACTATGCAGTGAAATGAAACAGAGTTATATCCATAATTTTGACCCTGCCATGATAAAGCGGGTGAGTATGTGTATTGCTTTTTAAAACATAGGTTGTTTTCAGGTTCCATTGTTTCCGTTATGCATAAATGATGCATATGAAAGCATCTTGTGCTGAATCAAAAACTCTGTAGGTCACTTCGAAGCACCCCGATTTTACAAGTTGACAAGATTTTTGAGGTTATCAGTGTCGATATTCTCTCTTTCCTCTTTGGTGTTAGTCAGGATGAATAGTGTCGAAGTCATGTACGACCGATATACTTTGCTACACACTGCAACAAGTGTTTAGGACTGATACTTAATGTAAGATAAGAATACAGATGAAACGTTTTAATTCATTTAAGCCTTTTTGTATTTTGTTTGTTTAATATCAATTTATAAGTGGTCGATACATTTAAAGTTATTCAATGAAAAGGTCATTTACCGTTCGGAATCTTTGTTTAGTTTTAGGAAGTATTTAAATTACAGCAGCCATGAAACTGCAAAATAAACTTCCTTTTAAAGTTGTTTAATTACCTCTTAATGGTTGTAAATAGGAAATCGTATCAAACAAACGTCGTCTGGTTAATAAAAACGTAGGACAGTGAATGGTGTATCAAGGAGAAATTTAATGAGAAAAACCCACTATTTATACTGTTAATGCCTGCCTATTTTAATGTCCTGTTGAGGAATTAAACTTCATCAGAAAACATTATGCTGTAAAGATGATGTTGTTTTTAGTGTTTTTGGTGCTGTAGATATTGTCCAGAAGGACAAGGTAGGCTTCTCAATGAAGTCATTCAACACAAAAAACATTGTAAAATTACGTTTGATGATACTTTCTTCTAACTGTGATTTGAAGTACGTTTTTAAATAACATATATTTCACCAACTTTCAGACATCAATTTCTATGCTGTGAAAATACCTACCTTTAATGTGTCCCAATACGTTAATTCCATATTCTTCTGAAGAATATTTATTTAGTGTAAAATACTGGGTGAATTCTTCCTCGCTGTAGTGACTGTAGTGAGATTTCTGAAATAAACTATATATCATGTGTATTAGGATAACGATCTGACTATTTTAACTTTCCAGTTGGTAAAGTTGGGCTCACTTCCATAATCCAATAGTCGATGGACAAGTTTTTCAACTAGGCAGACACAGTGCTAGCTAAACAGCGTGGTTAGGACTCTCACCGACCATGTACATGGTCCGGGTTTCGATCCCCTGCTGACGCATTCTTGATATCAATGGTCGGCTTGCATAATTTGGGCTACCGATATCACATGCTGAAAATTCCATAGTTGTACCAAAAATACGGTGTGGAATCAAGCTATGATCAAAATAATAAAAAATATTTGAAAAAACTATTCATAACTTATGTCTAAGATAGAGGTATATTCGTGCATTCGGTTACCAGATTTTGTTGTGTGGATATATATATGTGTGTAGCTATGTTATTAAATTGTCTACAGACAGAGAAGATAAAAACCGACCAGGCTAATTATTACCACTTTCTTTTTAGTTTATTAGGTTCAACAAAATGCATAAAAAGTCTATGATTTCTGTTGAAAATTAATTTTTTTATTCTACTGAAAAATGAATAATGACGGGAGTAGCATAAGCTGGTTTTCCAGTTGCTTGAATTCTATATGATATTAAATCTTTCATCCCCTTGAATTCTGAGTGCATCATAGTGCTTGAAGCTTTGAAGTTTCATTAGCGATGGTGTTGTTTGTAAAGGATGAGATAACTGGCCTTATTTTCTTGGGCTTACTGTCGGCTAGTAAACTAGGATTGCGTCAGCTGGGAATCGAAACTGTACCTGTGGTGTTGCTGGCGTACACTCTACCTTCCATCACCATAACATAATAATAATAGTGAAAGAATTCTTTAACTTACTCAATTTAGTGCATACACAATCATATATCTTTCTGCGGAATACAACAAGCATAGAGTTTTATTGTTTAGAGAAGATAGTTACAGCAGTTTATGTTGATTAGCAAAAAAATTACGTGGTGATGCGTTCAGTCAACCTCAGCTGAAATATTAAAACAAAGTTTCATATAAGGCAACAAAGAAGATTTAATTCGAAGAGTGGTTAGATAACCAATTAGAATATATATGTATATATATTGTATGAAGTTGCGTTATTTGGACAATTAAAGACTGGTAATCTAATCCTTTGTAGATAAAAAAAAATCGGTTCCACGTGTTTCATAGCTGCATGAATGCAGCAGATATGCGAATAATTGATTACTTTGAAAGAATTTACAGTGTCTGTAAGATGCTGTGTATCAGAACGACAACTGGCGATTACACTACTAAAATTATTTCCGTGCCTAATATTCATATTCTTTCTTTATGTTCTATCAGAGTAATTGCTTCAACAAATACGCTTAAATTCATTTTGACAGTTAAAGCGTATATGAGGCATATTTTCTTCACAAAGACGTATGTAATTCACAGCAGAGACAAACAACTTAAACCACCCTAAGTTCTTCATATGAATTACATAACGTCTAACTTTCATTTACACTGTAGTGAAATTTGTCTGAAATTACTACCAAAGTAACTGTATGTTATCGCAACTGTTTTAGTCTGTTGCACTTAATCAGTTGTTTCTTTTTTCTCTCCAAAAATTGAAGCACTCAGTTATATTCCAGGCGTTTAACTCTCTTAAATTAAACGTTTCAATGATTGAAATATCAGCGGTAGAGTTTTAGTTTAATGCACCATATGTGTGCTTGTGTTTGTATGGCTGGACCACTGATAATCTCTATACCTTTTCCAGATTTGTCTTCAACTAAAAAATAATATTCAAGTATTGGTTTTTTTTAGTGATTTTTGTTTGATTGGTTAGAGGATTTCATCATAAATAAGCTGAACTCCGGCGAGTGCATACTGCTGAAGAGTCCTGAACTAGGTTGACGAAACAGCTGTCCAGTACTCCCAGGTTTTCCAATGGTTCCCTAACTGATGTCAGCTCATGATGAAATCATCCAACCAATTAAAAATAACATTGTGTGCAGGTTATTTAGAGCTTTTCGTAGTCTTATCAGAATCACTTATCATACTAATCATTGTTGTCATTATGATTGTTGTTGCTTTCAACTGCAACTCACGTAATGATGATTGTATTATGTAAAATAATGATGCCATTATTTCCATTTACTTAACTTAATTATTAGATAAAGATTAACTCTTTTTTTTTGTATAGTGAAACAGAAGTATTTATGTGCACAGAATACTTCTTTTATAAAAACATTCGTATGCGTAATTTAATGTTATTCAGTGTAAACGATTTTTATTATTATTAGTCAGATGAGTACATGGAGTAGCAATGACGTTAATTCTGCATCATATATATATATATATTTCTCATTTGTCTCTGTGCCACTCAATTATTTCTATTCATTTAAAATGCATGATAATAATATGAATGTGCAGCGTATTGGCTGTTAGCAAATAACTTCCAATCACACCTTCCCAATTAGAAACTCTGGTCAATGCATTTCAGTATGAATAACCCAGTAAACTTTTATAAGCTCTCTTGCATATTAAATGTAGCTCGTAGACATCAATTACCCGAAGAGAACATGTGTGCTGCAAATAATGCCTTAGCCTAATAGTAAATATGGATGAAATAGATGAACTGTATTCACCGTTTTTCAATCGATAAACATACTCACATCTTATCCTCTAATCTGTTATAGTATGCCAAAAACCTTGATACGTTTATTTTAACCTTAACTGGTAAAACGGACTCATTTTATAATCAAAAGTTTTAATAGTTATATTTCTTTTTTCTTCCTTTATAAGCAAAACATTTTCATTTCACGCACATGCTCAAAAATTGATTTTCCCTTTAGATGAATTTTGCAAAAATGGTGATACGAATCTGCTTCCATAGAGTTTTGAAATCTTTGTCCATACTTGTAGCTGTTTCTTTTTCAGTCACAATACGCTATACACCCATTTTTGCGCTAGTTTTAAGCCCTGTAGCACTGGAGTTTTTTCATAAAACTGTATAAATAAGTAATTTAATTCAACTTTAGATTTTCCTGTCAATTGATTGGACCGAAGTGCTCGGTCTCAGGTTGACATATCGGCTTCTTGTGCAGATGCTTAGACGATGTCTGGACATGTAATTAAAAAAATATTTACATTCAAACAAAGAGTGGACGCATGACGTCCGCTACCCCGTTACAGGAGGCTTTATTATGAGCTCGAATAACTGAATGGTAGTGTCTCTTGCTGCAACACTGAACAAGTAAGTTTGAATCTTTAAGAAAGAACATCAATTCCTTCA